TATATATATATATATAGATAGAGGGCTGAGAAGCTGCAAACCAGACGGTTTAGCGAGCATATAACAGGCATGTTTACAACTGCAAAAGTTGCAGTAGGGCTCCCGAGAATAGCTCCGATCAGCTTTGCAGCCAAACTTAACCTCGATGCCATCAGGCAACCACCGCAGTCCAAAGTTCAACCCCAAAAGCCAGCAATGGTATCCCCTGACGTCCCATATCATTTCACATCATTACTTATACCACACTACCCTATTCTAAACATTCCGACTCCGGCCTCAAACCTGCAAAATCTAGAATCTCGACAACTGCACAAATCCTATAGTTATAGGGCCGACAAAATCTAGACAACCCAACGAACCCAAAAAGCCTTTGTAAGTACTGAGCTCCAGACTTGTCAGAGAAGTCGAGCTCTAGCAGCTCATCGTCACTGTACGCGTGCCCTTTGTCGTTCCTGGGGCTGTCATATCGGGGCCTTGATTAGGGGCAGAGGCCCCAAACCCTACATACTTTCTGTGTACGATAATTACCAGAAGCACCTGGGGATTCTGGGTAGTAAGGCTTTGGGGTGCTCAAAGACTCTTGTTGTCGTGGTTTCACGTTCGGTGTCTTGTGCGGTCCCGAGAATTGTCCCGAAAATTCTGCTTTCCCGGTTTCTGCTTCAGGTTCCCTTGACATGACCCTAACATACCCTAACCCTACACTTCTAAATCCGAAACTGTTTAGGGTTTAGGGCCCGTTTAGGCTTTATCCTGAACCATAACTCCTAAACCCTGATCCCCTGACTCGTGGACCCACAGCCTGGAAAGGAGATCGAAATGCGCACCGGGCGGCCCCTTGTGGTCGATGCGCTGCTTCTGGATGTTCTTGGTGATATTCATCCGGTCACTTCCGAACCTTGTCTTCTGACAGCGGCGGTGATGCTAAACCCTAAACCCTAAACCCCTAAACAATAAACCCTAAACCCTAAACCCCACATGATGATGATGATGATGATGATACTACTACTACTACTACTACTACTACTACTACTACTACTACTACTACTACTACTGATGATGTCGTGGCTGATGATGAAGTTCATGATGGCGATGACTATGGCGGTGATCGTGATGGTAATGATTCAGTGATGATGATGATGATGATGATGATGATTCAGTGATGATGGTGATGACAGTAGTGACGGTGCTGAGAAGCAGGTCATGACATGTTATGACAACATGGTTCTGATCACTGGGGCCAGGCCTCTCAGTTTGCCCATGCCCTGCCCGAGGACAGACCAGTAGAGTTTTATGATACATCTCTCCTTCTGCTCCAATGTGTAATGTAGGGGCCTTTATAATTAGAATAGGGCTTTGGAGGTTCGTTACTACATCTATAGTATAATATACCCTCCAAGCCCCATTCAAATTATTAAGGCCCCTATATAAACACTAGAGCACATGATCTTGCCGCGCCCACAAGGATCTTCACCTCCAAGACAGTGAGCATACCGGAACCATGAATGTTCGCCCAGAGAGCCCCATACACCTTAACTAAACAATAGACCCTAAATTACACAGGGCTTGGTTTCATGATGTGAGGCATATTGGGTTTAAGGTTTAGGGTATTATACGTGATCATTTGGGGTTTAGAGATGCTTGGGGACGGATGACATCCCTAGCCCTCGGACAGAACCCTAGTCTCACATGCCAGGTCTTTTTCGGGTTTGCTCGGGATGGTCGGGTTTGGGGATTCGGGTTCTGTAAGAACTAGCCTCTGAGGCTTAAACCCTAGAGCCCTAGAGCCAATAACCCTGAAACCCTAAAACCCTAAATCCTAAAACCCCAAAGCCCTACACCCTAAAACCTCAATCCCTAAATCCCTAAACCCTAAAAACCCCAAAGCCCTAAAACCCCTAAAACCCTAAAGCCCTAAACCCTAAAAGCCCTAAAGTTCAGGGCTGTGCCCCGCGCGCATCCCACACTCCCACGGTCACGTGGTCACAGGCCATGTCCAGCCTCACGGTAGCAGAGATTGGGGCTGAAGGTTTCGGTTCCTTTTAAGGGTTTGGGGTTTAGGGTTTAGGGTTTAGACGGGGTTCCTTTAAGGGTTTTGGGTTTAGGGTTTTGGGGGGTTCCTTTTAGGGGTTCCTTTAAGGGTTTAGGGGTTTAAGGTGCTGGTTAGGGCTTAGCGGCTAGCGGCTTGGGGTGAGTGCGGGGTGGCAGGATCTGCTGGTGGGCCCCTAAACCCTAAACCCTAAACCCTAAACCGCCTCAGAACCTGCGTCCGAGGTAACCTTGAGCACAAGCTTCCCCAAGCGCGAACCCGGAATTCCATTCAATGTTGAGGCTTCAGGATCTACCCTAAGCCCCAAAACCCCAAAACCCCAAAAACGCTGAACCCTCAACACTCTATAGGGTTGCCGTAGCAAGAAGCATGGTCACATCGAAGTTGATAGTGAGCATTGAGTCCTCATGAGCTGGCTGGCTCGGATCAAGGTGCCCTTGGGGCGCGAGGGATTCAGGCTTCAGGGAACTAGGGGTCGGCTTAGGGGTCCTTGTGCTAAGAATCCGACTATTCTCGGTTCTCTGTTCGGGTCCCTCATCTTCTGAAACTTGCCTGTCGTAGGCGTCATTGAGGGGTTTTTGGGCTAAGACTTCTGGGTTCACTCATCCGGCGAGTCGACGCCTTACGCATACACCGTCACAAGCGGGTCAAGGGTGTTGTAAGCTGTGGTTGTAGAAGGGTTGTTCTACTTAGCTTTCGGTGCTTCACAAACCAAGCTAAAGTCTGAGATGTCCAAGGTGTTGCTCGACAAAACATAGGATAATGTGAGAGTGTAAGGGCCTGTAGAAGCAAACCCTCCCTTAATACATACACATGTGCGCGTGTGTTAACCCTAAACCCCAAACCGTGGCTCTGATACTTCTAGAATGCTGGTGCCACTTCTGCAGGCCCATTAAGTATTGCATCCTGGAATAGCCTTGACCCGGACGTCGGAAGCCGCGACAAGCTTTTGCTTGCGGGGATGATGCTAGGGTTCAGGGTTTAGGATTTAAGGTTTAGGGTTTAGATGTTTGGGTGGAATAATTTAGGATCGGGCCACCCTAGACCCTTAATCCCAAGCCCTCAACCCGAGACCACAAACCCTAAACAACCCGTCGACGGTCCTGGTTGCTGTCCAGCGATACGTCTGTCCGGCGCTCCGACCGAAGGAATGCGTTGGTCTCGCAGATGAATAAAACCGCCTCGGTCATCGAGTTTAGGGTTCTTTAGGGTTTAGGGTTTAGGGTTTAGCGTTTAGAGTTTAGAGTGCGTTTTTCTTGTGGAGGGGCGGCGGCTAGGGTTTAGGGTTCAGGGTATCCTAAATAAAGTCTGGGGGACTTGGCAATCAGAATAGGGTTTGAGACAAATGACTGTAAAACTTTACCGGGATGCAAGGTATTAAGACGGACAAGCCGGCTGAAGTGTGCAGGCAAGTAAGCTACCAACCCAAACAGAGCGGCTTCGGGTGTGGGGTTTACGGCTCAACTGCTGAAGACCCCATGAGAATGCTATTGTTCTGTCAAGTTTTACAATTATTGCGGTTTAGGGTTTAGCTGCTGCAATTTTTGCTCCCTTGGCAAGCACTTTTCTGCACGTAGCAGCTACTGTATGCAAGACGGCCCCACCAGGAGAGCCTACCTTAGTCAGGACCTCATTTGAAGCGCAGTCGTAAGCTAGTACTAACTCGGGTCCCCTCAGTATCCTCTTAGCTGGGGTTGCAGACACTGCCTGAGATAAGTGCAGACCAAAAGCCTCTGCCTTCTAGGCAGATGCTCAGAATGGGGACCCTAAACCCTAAGCCTAAACCCTAAGCCTAAACCCTAAACCCTAAACCCTGAACCCTAAACCCTAAAACCCTAAACCCTAAAGGCCCCTAGCTGGAAAACTGAGGGGGGAGGGTAGGGGGAAGGCTGGGGTCGAGTAAACGATCATCCTTCAGGACTGTGGTGCTTTACATGGGAGCTCGTGTAGGGTTTAGGGTTTAGGGTTTAGGGTTTAGGGTTGAGGGTTTAGGGTTTAGGGTTTAGGGTTTAAGGTGTGGTGCTTTACATGGGATCTCGTGTAGGGGCCTGAATAATTAGAATAGGGTTTTGGGGTTCCTTTGGCGTATATAAGGCCTACTATAAGGGTTTAGGGTTTAGGGGCCTGAATAATTAGAATAGGGCTCCTTTAGAGGGGTTCCTTAGAAGGGCTCATACAAGGGTTTCTATAAGGGTTTAAGAGAGGGGCCTCAAGCATTAGAATAGGCTTTCCGGGGGTACCTTACTAAAATTATAGCAGACTATACCTCAAACTCTATTCTAATCATTAAGGCCCCTATATCAGCATGTTTCGAGCTTAGTGGCGGCGAAGAGTGTTCAGCGGCCTAAGGGCCTAGGGCTTGCTGTTGTCAAGAATGAAGCATCTTGCCTAGATCAACCTTCCACCCCAATGCCCTTTCTAGAGAGACTTCACCCACGAGCCGAAAAAAAAACCTTACGTCCACAGGCCCCTAGCCTGAACTCGTGAGGAGCAACCCTCCCTAAACCCTAAACCCCAAGCCCTAAAACCCCAAAGCCCCAAAATCCTAATCCCTAAACCCTAAAACCCTAACCCCCCCCTAAACCCAAAACCCTAAACCCTGCAAGCCCCAAAACCCTAAGCCGTGGGCCCTCAGGATCAGCCCCAGCGAACGGCCGGGGGTCCGAACACAGGTAACGACGGCCACCAGAGTCATCACCGCCCCGGTGGCGCTCGCCTATGTGGGAGGCCGTAATGAATACCTAAACCCTATAAACCCGAAAACCCTAAACGTAAACACTAGACCTTAAATCCTACACCTAAACCCTAAATCCTACACCCTAAACCCTAAACCCTAGATAAGGGTTGCTATACGGATGAGTAGAAGGGGAGGGGCTTGGGGCTTGGGGTGTCTGCTTGGAAGGTTTAGGTTCTGTGATGGGGCCTTACGGGGACTTAGGAGGGAGGTGGTTTCGAGATTCTTGGGGGGTTGCTGAATCTTTACGCTTTGAGGCTTTCAGTGTAGGATTTTTAGGCTTATAGGCACAAGCCTTAAGGTGTACAGTTCTTTTGGTTGGGAGACTGAAGGATCACGACTTTCTCGTGCATTGGCATATACATGGGTAGTTCCCAAAATTCCCCTCGGCCCCGGCCTGGGTCATCAAGCAGGATGTCAAGACACGATGTCCCTGATAGAAGTTCAGGAGGCCCGGAACTCCCCAAGTGACCGCAGAGCCACACATGCCACATTCTGGATAAGCTGGCTTTCTAGGACACCCCAATGCCTTCAGGATCCCTGACTAACAGTTGAAAACAATACTGACAATAAGAATCGGAATAATAGTGCTTACACTACTAGCCATACTAAGAATACGAACAACACTAATTATACCAATAATACGAAGAGTACACTTGATACTTATAGTTATAATAACATCAATAATGATAACAATAATACTAGTGAGACTAATAAGCATGGTAATAAGCCTATTCGTCAAATGAACAATCACAATGCAAATAGGAATCTACCAAGCTTGTGTTCGACTTTCAATGACAAGCCCCACTGAACTCTGCAGTAGCCCTGTTGACACCTTATTACACCGATAAGAAGCCCTATTTGTGACCCTGGGTTTAGGGTTTCGGGGGATGTAGGGTTCAGGTCTTGTACAGAACTCTGGATGTGCCATGGATCCGATGGCCTCCGCAAGGTCCTTGGGCACTGTGCGGAAGGCATCGATGCCAGCAGCCCACCTGCTTCGTGGAATTTCACGTCGAAGTCATGATGATGATGATGGTGATGATGATGATGATGAGGGTGGTGATGATGATGATGATGAGGAGGGTGGTGATGATGATGGTGATGAGGATGAGGATGAGGATGAGGATGAGGATGAGGATGAGGATGATTATGATGGTGATGATGATGATGATGATGATGATGATGATCTTGATGATGATGATGATGGCGATGGCGATGAAAACCATGACGAATATGACGATGGTGATAGTGTTGGTGATGGTGATGATTCTGATGAGTATGAGTATGGGGATGGTGACGATGATGGTGACGATCAACATCAGGAGGATGTCGGTGGTGTTGGCGGCGATAAAAGCTCTTGAAGACTATCCAAAATATAATGACGACGGTGATGATGACAACGATGACGAGGGTAAACAAAACGATATGAGCCACAAGCCCTTCGAAGACAAAGCGCATGCAATCCACAATCTCTACGCTTTCGGGCCCCTTCTGCAAGGGTGGTTTTGAGGGCTCAGGACTTCGACAACGATAAGCAATGCGACTTCAAACCCTGCACATGCAGCATCTTGACGCCCCAAAACTTTACAAATTGACTTCCTAGATCCTTAACCAGAAATCCTAACACCCAACACCCTACATCCCAAGATCAGAACTAGCAAAAGCCAAACCCTTGCATACTCAACGCTCAAGCCCAGCAACTGACATCACAAGGTTTAGAGTTTGGCCTGAGGTTTGGGGTTAATCCCTAAACCCCAAAACCCTAAACCCTAAACCCTAAACCCTAAACCCTAAACCCCAAAACCCTAATCGGATTCGGGCTTCATCCTGAAGCCGGAGATCCAGAAGACCCGAGCACCGTCCGGGCCACACCTGGGCGGCCCCATTTCCGACCTCGGAAGGGCCAAGATTCAGGGGACAGGGTTTAGGGGTTTTAGGGTTTAGGGTTTAGGGGGTTTTAGGGTTTAGGGTTTAGGGGGTTTAGGGTTTAGGGTTTAGGGGGTTTAGGGGGGTTTAAAGTTTAGGGTTTAGGGTAGGGCTTGAAGGCATAATTAACCCTAAACCCTAAACCCTAAATTAACATGTCAATGTAGAGCTTAGGGAATAATCGTCTGGAATTGGGCTTTGTCCAGGGCTCCCTGGGTTAGGGCTGGCTCAGAACATGGTATCGGGAGTTACGGGTTTTGGGCCGGGGTTTAGGCAGGATTCACTCGTTACAGCGTCCCCGTTGCAATGAAGGCTCACCTGTGCTGGAAGTACCATGCTAAGTAGAACACAGAGGCCGCCAACTTGAAAGACAGTCCATATAATTCAGACTTAGGGCTGTCCGGCTTTGAGGGAACAGGTAGGGAAGGTCCTGTAAGCTAGCTGCAAGCCTAAGCCCCGAACCACGGACCTTAAACCCCAAGCCCAGAACACGAAACCCTCCTAATATAGGGGCCCTAATAATTAGAATGGGGTTTGGGGGGTATACTGTACTATAATTATAATACGGAGCCCCAAAAACCCTATTGAAATTATGCAGGCCCCTACATTATAACCAAACCCCTGAACCTGCGACCCTACACCCTCAACCTGCCCATACTCGCCGGGTCCTACCTGCAGCCTGGGAGACAGGATCATGTTGCTCGAAGGCTCATGAGTAGTTGTAGTATGGTTGGAAAAGTTATAAATACTCCAATCATGTTTGTAGGTTATTCGTTAATTTATGTGAGTTTCATCATTGTCATAGCTCTATCTACAAAGTTCCCTGATCCTTTAACACAGCCAAAAGACCCGATAAAACTCTGCAAACACCCTATAGGCGGGCTTAAGCGCAGCTTCGGCCCAGCATTGCGGAACCCGCGAGAATGGCCCCATTTCTGAATATGAGTACCTCACAAGAACAGGATAATTAGCTTTTGTGTCATGCGAAAGTGATCCCGATAACAAGCAGTGAGGTGAATGTCGGCCGCAACAGCAACAGCATCCAACAGCAGCAGCAATAGCCCCGTCGGCAGCTTAGTCACGGCATTGAGCAGTAGAAGAGACTAGCTACATCTATAATGCGTTGGAAGATGTCGCTTGAGGCCGCGGCTGCGCGTGGCCCTGCTTTCGGGCTTTGAGCAGGAGCTATCGCGCAGCTTCTTTTCAAAACTGCGGGCGCGCCCGGCTGGAAAGGCTCGAAGGAGACTCAGGATCAAAGCGCTACTTTAGTTTATTTGGGCTCTAACATGTGAGTAGTTCTGGTACTACACCCGGGTTTCTGAGAGGTCTGAACCAACAACGTGTCCAAAGACGCGTATTTGCCGTGCAGCCTTACCTCTTGCTACTGCTTCGCCCAATCATCCCCTTCTTCCAGTGGCCAAGCTCTAGAGCCCTGGCGCCGAAACCTAATGTAGGGCGCCTTCATAATTAGAATTAAGTTTCGGGGGCTCCTTATTATAAGTATAGTTTAATATACCCCAAACCCTATTAAAATTATTAAGGCCCCTATATTGCAACAGCCTTCAATGAGCCTAAAGCCTGCACGGCCTCAACCTTGCTCTCCGCAGCTTGTGTGGCATTTCTCATGGTCCCATGCTTGATAGCTGAACGCTGCATGTCAGGCGCAGAAGTCCGCCTTAGTGTTCCAGGGGGAGTTTTTTTCTGTAGCGGAATAAACCTACCGTTGTCGGGTTCCTCAAAATGGTTTCTATAGATAGCCCTTGACAAGGTACGTTTTTTGAGCCACAGGTCGGGTTGACGGACTGGCAGTGGAGGCTTTGAGGCTTCGGGTTTTAGGGTTTAGGAGGGGCTTAGGATCTAAAGAGCTTGAGATGAAGCTTTGAGGGCCAAGCACGATGGACTAGGGTTCTGCTATTCCTTCGGCATACACCGGCCTGCTACTGTAAGGAGGACTACCGAAGAGATCTGTAGGTCAGGGGCTCTGTGCTGTGATCCGCCGGGCGGTTTAGGGAAGTTGGTCGGCTGCAGTGTGGTACAATCTCTGGAACTCAACAATGCTTCAGATGTTGACGTGGATGGCTGCTCTGAATAGGGTTCCTAAGCCCTAAACCCTAAACCCTGTACAGGGTGCAGCTGCTAAGGCTTTACGGATTGAGGGCCTTAAGGATCTAGGGCGGCGAAATTCAGAAAGCTTCCTTCAGTGACAGATCTGGTGGAGTTCTGATTCGAGACAGTTGAAGCCCTCAGCGACCGAGGATGGAGGATTTAGTGCTTCGGCTTTAGGGGTTTAGGGGTTAGGGCTAGTTCGGGGGGCTTTCGGGTTTCCAGCACTCCAGGATTGAATGGGACTGCTCGAACGACTGTCCCTCTGTGGAGGCAAGCCCCGTGAAGAACGAATCCAACAATGCCTCGACGTCGGCAGCTGCAGCAGACTGTTTTTGTTCGACGGTCTGCCGCTAAACCCTTTACCCTTAACCTGAAATTCAACCTAAACTCAAATCCAAGGGATGAAAGGTTTGGGCCTGAGGGTTTTAGGCGTGTCTTCTTTTAAAAACTGACTGAAAGGACAAGGGGCTTAGCACGCAAAGTTATACTTGGGGTGACTACACCTGCAACTACATTCCATTATGAATTGTATAACTTATAGCCATCCTAAAACCAAAATCCTGAACCCCACAACCCCCATCAAGCTTCGAACCTTTGAGAATGCCCCCTTTCAAAATTCCGGCCAGGGTTAAGGAAAGCTTGACAGGGCTTCTTGAAGGGCTGTCATTTTGTCATACAGCGGCTTTTTACAAGCTTCAAAATTTGGCGCTTTTTATGTGTTTCCGAGCTACAACGTACTGTATCAGGGTTGGAGTTGCAGGCACAAAGCCCTGAAAATCTAGTGCAGACATGAGCCTAAATGTCTTAAAAAACAAGCCTCCAAATACGCAAGCAGTCACAAGCCCAAGAGAGAGTGCCAACTCTTATAAAACTTGCAAACCTACGTTTATACGCTCTTGCACAATACGTGTGAGACCACTGTATAACCCCCTAGACCCTAGACGATAAACCCCTAAACCGAAACCCTAAACCCTAAACCCTAAAACCCTAAGCCCCAAACCCTAAACCCGAAAACCCCAAAACCCTAAACCCGAAACCCCCAAACCCCCCCCTGTGGCCTGGGACAGCTTCTCGGCTAGGAGACGCTCTTGGCGGATGGCATCCTGGCAGCCCAGGCTTAGGGGGTTCAGGGCTTGTAAGGTTTTCGGGGGGTTTTTAGGGCCTTTAGGGTTTAGGGTTAGGGCTTAGGGTTTTCGGGTGTTTTCGGGGGTTTTCGGGGGTTTAGGGTTTAGGGTTTAGGGCTCAAGGTTTACAGTCTCTTTCGATTTAGAGATTAGGGCTTGGAGCTTTCGCGGGTGCTTAGGGTTGAGGTTTGTAGGGGCTTCGGAAACCTTTGCGCGACATGCCCCGACCTGGGCTCAACTCTCAGTTGCAGCTCAAGCAACACTGCTCTTGAAAATGTGGCCAAACCTGAGGCCCCAATTTAGGGTTTAATTTGGGTTTGGGGTTTAGGGTTTCGCTCAAAGGCCCTATAAGCACTGGGTCCTTCACTCAGGAAACCTTATAGAAAACCTCAAAAGAACCCCTCATGACCTCAAGATCTCAACCCAAAAACCCCTTAGAGAACCCTTGTGGGACCTTCACGGAACCATTAAGGAATCTATAAGGGTTCCTTTAAGGGCTTCTTTCAGGGATCTAGAAGATTTCCTTAAGTGCTCCTTTATAAGAGCCTTTACAAGAACCCTTCAAGGAGACCTTGAAAGGAACCCTGGAAGGCGAAAGCAGCCCCGAAGCCCCTAAACCCTGAACCTAACCCTTAAACCTAAACCTAAACCTAAACCCTAAACCCTAAACCTAAACCCTGAACCCTAAACCTAAACCCTAAACCGAGGGCGAAGGCAGCCAGCCTCCAGTGTCTGCACCCGCCGCTCGAGGTCCAAGCCTATCTGCTCCTGAGAGATTTGCCAGGGTTGCTTAGGCTCCTTAGGGCTTTTAGTGTTTAGGGTTTCCCTTTTGGTTTCTTCGGCACCTGAAGGCTCCTCACAGCTTAGAGCTTCAGGGTAAAGATTTTAGGGTTTAGGGTTGCGTCAGGGTGTAGTGCGACGAAGGGTGTCTAGCTCTTCCAAGCGCTGTTGAGCCGGACAGCGTTCTCGAGCCCACAGTTTCGGCAGCACCACTGAAACCCTTTAAAGGTTCGGGGCTCGCGCCGAAGCCTAAGTTATCCAAGTTGCAGCAGGCCAAGGAAACTAAACGGATCCCTAAACCCTAAACCCAAAACTCTACTAAACCTAAACCCTAAACACTAAAAGGCTCCAAGGCATCCGTAAACCCTAAACCCTACACTCTAAGGAAACACAAGGCAGGAGGATCCCAAAAGGAACCCGAAGAAAACCCAAAGGAGGAATCCGGGGTTGCAGGCTTTGGGCTTTAGTGCTTGTTGAATAGAGGCTTTAGGGTATAGGATTTAGGTAGTGCCCCTTTTGGGTCCCCAATATAGTACGGCACCCTTAAAAAAGGATCCTAAAAGGGACCCCTAATTTAGAGAACTACCCATGTTAGAGTTTAGGGTTTAGGGTTTAGGGCAATGCCAAAGTTCTCTCTGGCCTATGGATTTGTCTGTTAGAACAGGGGTTCCTGCAAGGATTCCCATTAAAGGTTTACGACAAGGGGGGCTGGGATATGTGGCCTACAGAATTAGAAGAGGGTTTTGAGGTATATTAAACTCGACTGATCTTACGGGTGATTAGGGATCCTGTGAAGATTCCTACAAGAGGTACTTTTAGGTTCTAGAATAGGGTCGCCTTACAAAAGGTACGATGGGGCTCTGTAACCCTCAACCCTAAACCCTGGAACCCCCAAAATAGTATAGGTAATTATTTAGGCTTCTATATTTTACGACTTTCGGGCTTAACAG